GCAAGGAAATTCCATTGGGAACTCTCCTCGTCCACACCTTCCATCAGAATGTGTAAATCATTCATCCATAGCCCTGTAAACATAAAGATGAATGGCACTTGCTTTCTCAGAGAAAAGCTCTCTTAGGTCTGTTCCCTTCTTTTGATTGTTGTTGGGATTGTGACAGCTCTGATCCTTCCAAACAACTCTAACAGTTGTTTGTATTGCAAACCAATCATTCCCATACACTTTTACTGCACTCTAAAAGGCTTAGCAACCGCTCCACCCATGCAATGCAAAACATTTCTATTTAGAACAAAGATCATAGTTCTTCGAAAAGTCTTATCATTCACTTGGAGTAATTAAAAGGCTGTTGTCGGGCCCGGCTCATACAACAGTTAACGTGTCCTCTCCAAAGATGCTCGTATGTAACCACCTGAGCGTCACACTGAAACTGTTAAATATATACATAATATATAATTCAACATGTATATTTTCTACTTTCTTGTTTATTTCTAGTTTTTTATTTGTATTGTACACAAACATTTCCCAAATTAGGATCAATAAAGTACTTCTTATCTTATCTTACAGAAATCACACTCCACAAAACCTATGAGTCTTCATTTCACATAGACTATTTATATTGCTCTATTTCTACCTATGATTATCAGAAATTAACTTTTTTTAATGTTGTACAGTATGCTCAGCGATCACAGAGAAGCAATCACTGGGGACGAAACATCTGGATCTCAGCTCCTCTCTTAAAATGTGCATTAAAATAAAAATAAACTTTAAGCACTGATGCTTGTTTGCTGGCAAAAGGGAGGCCCTAAACGCACACACATACACACACACGCACACACACACACACACACACACACACACACACACACACACACACGCACACACATTTTATACATTAAATGTTCCACCAGATCTCCCAGCAGCAGGAATTTGACCAACATTTTTTTTTTTCAGCCATCAAATTATAAAGAAGCTTTACTCCACCAATAATATATCTATACAATAATCTAAACTTTAATACAACATATTATTTACTCTGCATCATTCACATCTGAGCCCAGAGAGAAGATTTGTTTGTGTTGAAACAAATTCTCCATCAAAAAAAAAAAAACATCAACAAAAAGGATTTACATAAAAATGTTTGAGAGCGTCACAAAGGGAAATATTTCCGATGTCTTGCTTTTCTTATGTTGTCAAACATGCTTTTTGTGACCGTCAACATTTCGTTTCAAAACAGCAACCCTTGGTGTGGTTCTCAAACTATTTTTAGTAAATCCTCGAAATAACTTTTATAAGTATAACTTGTTTTTGTTATATTTTCGTCTCACTGCCATGACTAATCATTACAACTCTTTGAGTGGTTCTCCCTGTCGGATTGTCTACAGGTGTGCTGGAGTCAGAGCAGCTACCCACCAGCTGAAAACGTTTCTGCATTCAACATGATAAAGACTCAGCCCTGCCACATCCACGCTATAGAACCTGCTCCTCAATGTATACATTAAGCCAGTTCAACATTAGTAATACCATTGCTCGTCTTTTCCCTAGCCTGAACCTGTACTTGCTTCCCTTGCAGTCCTGCCTGCACTGCTCCAGTAAGTATTTGATCCCTTGCAGATTTTGTAAGTTTGCCCACTTACAAATAAATGAACAGTCTATCTTTTTAATGGTATGTTTATTTTAACAGTGAGAGTAAGAATATCAAAAAGAAAATTCAGAAATTGACATTATATAAAAGATAAACATTTATTTGCTGTGGAAAATAAGTATTTGATCCCCTTGCAAAACATGTCTCAATACTTGGTGGAGACTCCTTGTTGGACACACAGAGGTCAGACGCTTCTTGTAGTTGGTCTCCAGGTTTGTGCACATCTCAGGAAGGATTTTGGTCCACTCCTCTCTGAAGATCCTCTCCAAATCCTTAAGGTGTTGAGGCTGATGCTTGGCATCTCGATACTTCAGATCCCTCCACAGATTTTCTATGTGACTAAGGTCCGGAGACTGGCTAGGCCAGTCCATCACCTAAATGTACTTCTTCTTTAGCCACTCCTGTTGCCTTGGCCGTATCTTCAGGTTTATTGTCCTGCTGGAAGACCCATCCATGACCCATTTTCAGTGTCCAGGCTGAGGGAAGGAGGCTATCGGCCAATATTTTCACGGTGCATGGCCCCGTACATCCTCTCCTCGATGCAGGGAAGTGGTCCTGTCCCCTTAGCAGAGAAACACCCACAAAGCATAATTATGTTTCCACCTCCATGCTTGATGGTGAGGATTGTGTTCTGGGGGTTATAGTCAGCATTTCTCTTCCTCCAAACACGGCGTGTCGAGTTGATGCCAAAGATTGCGATTTTGGTCTCATCTGACCGCATCATCTTCTCCCAAGCCTTCTCTGAATCATTCAGATGTTCATTGTCAAATTTCAGACGGGCCTTTCATGTTCTTCTTGAGCAGGGAGACCTTGCAGCGCTGCAGGATTTGATCCACTATGGTGTAGTGTGTTACCAATAATTTTCTTTGTGACTGTGGTCCCAGCTGCCTTGAGATCATTACCGAGTTCCTCCTGTGTAGCTCTTGGCTGATCCCTGACCTTTCTCATCATGATCATCGATACCCCACGGGGCGAGATCTTGTGTGGAACCCCAAGCCGAGGGGGATTGATGCTCATTTTGTGTTACTTCCATTTAGAAACACACACATTTTTATTAGAAGCCTGTGACCTAAGATTTTCATTGTCATAACTGCATTGTAGCTATGTACGTATGACCAATAAAAGCCTTGAACCTTGAACCTGAAGGTGAAGGGCAGTCATGGCAGCCTCCTGGCAGCCGTACGACACCGGAGAGTGGCTGCTGTTTGGCATTGGCAGAGGAGGTTTGTCACATTTCTCATGGGCGCACCCCACATATTCAGCTCTGCTGCTCATCCCACAAATGCTTGTTCCTCACAAGTGTGGGACCATTGGAAAGGTAAGAAAACAGGCTTTCCAACGGTATAAGATGTATTGCCAAAAAGCATTGTTACAAGATAGAAATCATCTACCAAACACAAATTGCCTTACTTTTTGTGTTAAGTTTACGTATATGCCGTAATAGCTGCAATACCTGGCTGATATATCTTCAGAAAAGTTACAAGATGTGTATTTTGTAAATCGTGTAATTTTTTTATGTGTGTATCTTTAATATTTTTGTATGCATGCTTCTTAGTTAACATTAAAGGTAGGGTAGATAAGAATGGAGAAACCAGCTCGAGTGCACTCGAATTTGAAAGTACACAACCGGAAAAAATCTGCCCCTTCCTTCAGACTCCCTTACAGAGCCCCTTCTCCAACACACACGAACACACGCACATGACCAATGAGGGCACGAGATAAGTTTGTGCACGAGATGGAAGGCTGACAGGCAGGTAGGCCATCCAGTTATCTGAGCCGGGCCGGCTTGGTCGAAATTTGAAAAGCACCACAGCTTCCACAGATGACATTTTGTTATGTATTTATTGTCAAAGCATGTAAGGTATTCATTGCTATCGGGATGTTAAGAGCATTCCATGGAATATAACAAAAAGTGTTTCTGAAGTGAATTGCCTACCCCACCTTTAAGCTGTCTTTGGCTCTTTTCTGCTGTAACAAATGTAAATTTCCACTCAGTGGGACAAATAAAGGTGTTCTGATTCAGAAAAGGGTTTTCACTCTCACTATCACCTTTTATAATTACACTTTTACCAATTTAGATGTGCAGCAGTTCCGGCTCAGAGATAGTAATAGTGATTATCTTGAAGTTGCAGATTGTCATTGATTTGCTAATCTGTGGAAACTGAGTTATAAACTACTTTAACATGGAAACCTCTTTTTTATTGTTTTTTAAACTATCCTAATGTACTTTGAACACAGACGTGAATTATATTGTTGGGTACTGGGTGTTCCTTGTAAATAGAGGGATCACTCCCCTCGTGGCAGTTTCACATTTCTCTTATCAGTGCCGTGAAGATTGTATCTATAAATCTCTAAAACTTGACCACTGCGACATCACAGTGTTTCCCCTGTATACATAATTATGTAACGAACTAATGATCTACTAAGATATTGTTTTTTCTGTTTACTGGAAAGAGATTTTCATCACCCAAAGAAAATAGTTGAACACATTAAAAAAATATTTATTCTTTTTCAATTCTGTACAAATTCCCACAACCATCAAAGTTTTCACATTTACCGACAATATCCAGCCATTATATGTTTATATATATGTGTGTGTTTCTGTGTGTGCTAAAATGACAAATGTTGTCAAAGCAAACAAGGTGCTCCTCCAGAACTGCCTACAATATGAAACATTAGTCCCCATTGTTTCATCCTTCAAGCCTCCATGTTTTGATCCTAGGCCACAGCATCACTTTCATTTTCATATAGAGAACAGTTTATTTGTCTAACTGTGCAACATTATAATTGCAGCAACTCTGCAGAAAGTGCTATCCAGGATTCAGTGCAATTACAATGACAGTGGTGAAGTGATTGTTGTTGAAGTATGCTTACATACACATACATTATGCAGATATATAGCCTAAACATATTTTTAAAACAAATAACCCAAGATCAATTACTACCTACTTTAAATACAATACACATGAGGTTACATTTCTCAGATATCTTGAATAAATATAAAATGCCTTCTTCCCATCATAAACTGACAAAGAGAAACCTGAGAAGTGCATGGGCGCAAAAGCCCTCAGTACAGTTTCATTTAAATGTGCAACAACATCTCCATATTAATCAAACCTGTTTTCTTACATATATTATTTATATTTTCTAAACACTATTGCAGAGAGGATTTTATCCACTTCATCAATATTAACACTTTGAAGTGTGTTGGTTTAGAAACTGCCGGGAAAACCCTGTCCATCAGTTACTGAAATGTGAGACTAAATAAATAAATAAAAACCCACAGAACAAAATAAGGTAAATAGTTGAATTAAAATCAATTATGTTCCTATGTGTTGTCCTTCACTGGACTCTACACACTTAAAGTATAACTTCCTACCCGTTTTCTACATAACTTGCGGAACCACACCCAGTAAAGGATGATCATAAGCAGCCAGTATACGGTGTAGGCCACGCAGCCAAAAGTGATAAAGGTGAGTTCCTCTACTTTGGCTGGCTCGGACCAGTCCAGTTGACTCTCCCTGTAAATTGAGTAACCCAGCCCACCTAGTAAAATGGCCATCCACACCGACAGAGGGAGAAGAGGAATGTAGTTCCCTACAATTTTACGCCTGCCAGAAGTCCCCCAGCTGCTTTTGTTCATGGTGAGAATGGCGAAGTACTTGGCAGGCAGCAGGCTGGTCATGTACAGGGCTGAGTAGAGGGACATGAACACCATCACCATGTCTCTGCGCAGGACGCAGGCGTAAGATGCTTTCACCAGCCCGATCAGCTGGATGCAGCACAGGATCCAGAGGATGTCCCACACCGTGCCTGTCCAAAACAGCTGGATGATTGTGGCTGTAACGAAGAAGGGGAAAATACCCGAGACGATGGACTCGTAAGTCATCCAGAGGTGGTGCTTGTGCCACCACATTGCATTGAAGAGCCACTCGCGGAAGTATGATTTTGTCCAGCGAGTCTGCTGGTTCAGCCAGCGCAGAAACTCAGCAGGTGTCTCTGTGTAGCATTTGGAGCGGGCTGTGTATCTAAAAGAAAAGGCAAAAACAAGATTTATGAAACCTTTATCATTACAACAAAGGTTACACCGTCACATCAAGATAATTGCATCTGATATCATAACTGTGTGCACAATGTTGAAAAGCTTCTTACTTTGTAGCATATCCCATGCTCAGCATTCGGTTGGTAAGATGTCTGTCGTCACCAAATGTGCAGTGACTTCCCAAAAACATCTGATTGTACCAGGACTCCAGAAACTGCTGGAGGAGATCGTTCCTATACAGACCTTTATGGAGCAATTCAAGAAAGAAACACAATGAGTTACAACAGTGCATTACAGCTCTGAATACAACTGCTTGACATGTACACCAATACATTGACACGTATCAAAAGGGAATAAGCCTTTTCTCTCACCCAAAGGACCACTAATGCAGGACACACAGTCGAAGAAGGACTGGCAGGATCTTTCGATGTTGAAAGCCATCCAGTATCTAAGACTGCTCATGAAGCTGATGTAAGAGTCTTTCAGGTTAAGGATCATCACATCTCCTCCCACAGCACCGTACTTGTCGTTACTTTCTAACACTTTACACAGCTCAATGGTGGCCAGAGTGTCCAGCTTGGTGTCTGAGTCACACACCTAAGGGAGGGAGTAAGAGAGTCTTGTCATAAAGAAATTGCACACTATGGTTCAATCATCTTCTTTTTTTTTAAAACATAGGGAATATGATTTCAAAAAGAAGAATACACACCTGTATATAGTCCACTGATGACCCAAGTGCTTTGAACGCAGTGTACATCACCTCCCGCTTGCCGCCCCACTTCTGCATGATGCACACGCACTGCTTGTTCCGGATCAGTTGCTCTACGTCTCTTCGCTCTGGGTCCTCAACAAAAGTTGGTTCAGCATCCCCTCCTGGGCCTATTTCAGCATTCCCTCCTGTGCCCAATTCAGCATCCCCTTCTGGGCCCATTTCTGTTGCCGTTTCCACAGGCTGCTGGGCCTGGATGGGATTCCATGTATGGTAGTTATTTTTCCACACATAACAGCCAGGGTCCCGGTCTGCAAACACCTCTCTGAACATTTCCATCATGTACCGGTCATCATCTGTGTTCCCATCGATCACCATGATGATGCGCAGCAGCTCCGAAGGATAGCTGAGGGCCTTGATGGAGCTGAGGCACTCCTTGAGATAGGCGGGGTCCTCCTGATAGGCTGATATTGTGAAGCCAATTTGTTTGGTAAAGGAGCAGGGCTCTGTGCGTGCTTTCATTCGTCGGTGCTCAATGAAGGCGAAGAGGCTCTGGATCAACAGGTGAAGTGAGAGGAGTAATCCATAAAAGCCAAAGGAGATGATTCCGTATTTGGATGTTACCAGCTGAAAACCGTCCACATAGGCCCACACCAACAAGCACATAACCAGCACAGCAAACCCAAAAGTGCAGATGGCGCGGACAATTGAGCCCAAGTTCTTCAATAAAGGTTTCAGATCCATTGTGTTTCTCTACCTATCACACAAGAAAACACAACAGTTATAGAATGGCTCGGTTATGCTAAAGTTCACCGAGTTCAGGGTGTGTTACTGTACATGGAGTTAGTCGGTTTATATTTCTTCTTTAAGATCTGCTAAAAAGCCATAAATTGGAAAATAATACAGCAACCAGGCCAAGCTTTAAGATCCAAGTTATAACTTTTTAAATGTAAACAACCTTGTCCTATTGTAAATAAACAGATGATGATAAACAGTTCAGGTTATGTAAAACCAGCAATAACACACAGTGGGATCAAAAGACTAGGTAGTGTGTTAACATTATCTGTTTATGTCCAACTTATTATTTTTCACATATTTCAATGTATGCAATAATATAGTATTTCAAAGATTATTCCAAACATTTAAGAATATGAAATCTTTTTTTTGTAAATTCTTGTTTATACAATTGCTTTATAGCTTGTCAGACAACAGTCACTCTGAAACATAGCATAAAACCTAGAAACATTTAACTGACAATGTATCAAAGCAAGAACTAATACCGGGGTTGATGAATTGAGAACATTCATTATCAAATAAAAAACACACAAAAGAGTAAATGTAATATGCATTTCATCAAGCAACTTACCTCTAGCAGAAATGGGATGTCTGTTTTTATTTAAACATTTGTGTTTTAAATCAAATCATTTTGAGTGACATGCCATGGTTCTACAGAAGTTATTTTGTTTATATTTAAATCACAACTTATCTCTACTAACTCAGACAAAGACAACTGTATCTATGAGTTTATAAGTCATTTACAAACATCACCGGTACTACACTCATGCAACATTATTTATTCGCACCTACCTGATGTTAAGCTCCCCTGGATTTCAATTTGCGAGACATCCGTCCGGTGTTTCTCTTCTGGGTGAACTTGGCATGACGGTAGTTGGCTTTATAGGCTAGGGTGAAAGCATCGGCCATGTGTACGCTCCTTCAGTCTGGGGGTTACACATTTGCATACAGGCGCTGTCACTGACTCAGCCTACGTCAGAAGCAAGGCGGTGGTCCCTCTGACTGACGTCGTGCGAGCACATCTGTGCGGCTTTCTTTTGTCTTTTAAGACAAAGAATTTAAGTCTGGGACCACTCGGACAAGACTATTTACTGTAATACAATGAAAGAAGTTTCCAAACTGAACGGTACTGTACATGAGCTTCAAATAAACCAAGAGGAAACCAAGAAATATGACTTTTGTTTGCTCATATTGCCATAAAGTTCTATTTTGCAGCCGCACTAACATTAACATTGCCCAAGTTAAATAACACGTTTGCACTCAAATTACACATATTTGTCCACTCGATCAGTGGTGGAAGTACAGTTACTCAATCACTGTAGTTAAGTAAAAGTCTGTATTTACTTTACTTCTTTTTTAACCCCTAACCCTAACCCTTGAGCAAAATATAATTCATGCTACATGTAACTTTCAATCTTACCTTTTACTCCACCACTATTACCTGACAGCTTTGGTTACATTGTCTAATAAAAGGCGTCTATAAATAAAGTAGTAGCCTATACATCTACTAGTGACTGTTAGCCTGAAATTGGCCATTCTGCACATCGAGTACATTTTAAGATTTTGATGATATTAAAAATAATACATAAATACTTTTTACCACCACTCGTATTGAACTTGAAAGTCTTGAATATGTGCCTAGCGAATATGATGTCAGGTATTCAATCGCATTTACCTTAAGAGGGAGTATTAAGTAACTTCAGAAGCTGCAGTCAAGCATGTAAACTGGTTGGATGTTGCCCTCTGCTGGTTCCTATCTGACACTGCAACAGTTAAATATAACAAAGTGGTATTTAAGTTTTAGGAAGTAGTGGAAAAACGTTTTAGTGGTGAAGTGTAATATCAAAGGAGTAAAGCTGATGTCACAGAGTCAGGGCCGTTTCTAGCTTTTTGGGGGCCCAATGCAAGATGCTGTTTGGGGGCCCTAGTTTTTACAGTTTTTTGTATAACTACAATGGGGGGGATTCCGAAGCCTTTTTAAGATGATCTGTGGAGATGCATCAGTCTGTTACACTTTAAGAGGAAAACAGGCTAATTTCACGAAAACAAAGCAATTGAAACTTACAACAAATTATATTAAAAAGGTAAACAATAAGGCTTCTCTATGTCAATAAATACAAGAGATGCAGCATTTTCTCAACAATGTGACAGCCCAACGAACATTTGAACTTTATTACCCCACAAACACAAGCCACAGCTTTGCTATCATTGCAGTTTAGTTGTATTTATATCCTACATTTGATTTTTAAGCATATAATGCTTCACCGAACACAGGAGTGGGCTTGGCTGTCTACAAATAAAGACAGCTCATTTGAATTCTCCCCAAATATATTGAGGCTGAACCTGAACTTTCAGCTTGGGGGCCCCCTAGTGGCCGCGGGGGCCCTATGCATCTGCATAGTCCGCCTATAGGAAGAAACGGCCCTGCACAGAGTAAAAGGAAGTCTTGTCTTTGTTCTACTAATCTTTGCCTTCAGAGTACTAACGCAGCTGGTTCAGTTGCTGCCACTGTCCTGAATTAAAACCATGATTACATCCCTGGAGAGTTCCTTTACAGGGGAAACTGTTGACCGCTCACAAAGGTCCCCACCCTTACCCGCAGAAGCTGTCCCGAGCCGTCAAAACGCTTCATGTCGACCCAAATAGAAGCTACGAGGCAACTGATGTCATGTGTGGAGGCTGAGCCGGTCAATGTGTTTAGGGATGGTGAATTGGCTTGACTTATTGCACATGTTATTATATGTGGGCTGACTGCAAGACATCTGTATGTTTTCATCAATTATAAAACTGTATGCATGTGAGCCATTGTTTGTTACTTTTAATTCACCATATACAATGTGTTCATATTTAGCTATCAAATTGTTATCTTCATTCTTCCCTTTTTAAAGCTCTATTTTCGTTAAATGATCATGGCTAAACTAGTATAGTGCTTTCCCACTTGTCCCTGGATAGTCAATGAAGTCGCTGAGGGATAACTGAGTTGGTGTGCATTTGCAGGGGAATTACTCTTCTACGAAGCTACCATCAGAAGCTCGTAAATATAGTTTGTGGAATCCTGTAACATTCAAAACATGCAGATTTATGTTGCCAGAAACAACATCCTTTCTAAAGCTCTGTTTTCAAAAATAAAACGATTCAGCCTCCAGCATGCTTCATGGCAATAAGAGCTATTTCTTGTGCATAAATGAGTCCTCGTTATGCCTCTTTATGGTCAAGCAAATGCCTCGTGACTCACCCTGCTGCTGTGTGCCACACCCAAGGAACCAAAATACATGCAAATCACTGGAGCATTTTGTGATTGAGCTTTTCTATAAGGGCACCTGATGCTGTTGTTTGAATCCTAGTTTGGGAGCTTTCACAGAGAGGTAGTAACAAAGCAGTTTGGTGTCTTGCAGTATATATTAATAGTTTTGAGGAAAACAACTAAAATGCTCCAATTTACTCCAAACACAAACAACATTCAAGCCCAACTACAGCTACATAAAAAGTTGCTGAATAGTCAAATGTTGAAGTACCATTATTTGTTGCAGACAGCGCTACACAATCAGGGATGGTGGAGTGTGGAGTGTGCAACATACTTTACAGTTTCAGCCCACAGAGAGCAGTGTAGCAGCATTTATTTCTCCTTTGTGATTTACTGACTGTAAATAGCAGGTTTGTTCCTCAACTACTCTGTGTTCTACCGAGCCCTCCGTGAGCAAGGAACATGTCTGCTTATTCATTGTAAAGTCGTTCTGAGTATAAGCTCCTAGAGTCAAATACAGTGAAAGAATGGGTGGCAGCTAGATCTCTGTGTTACCCTCTATACTTAGTTAGATGCCATTTTGATTTACAGTCCTCCTTACCAAAGCTATAGGGTGCTGAGCACAAGTGGCTTTCCAGACAAATTTTAAAAATATTGTTTTATACACTTGGGCAAAACACCTGTCTGTCAATTCACTGTAATGAAAAGTCAAAGTAGGTGTAGGAGGCAGATGTCTTTCCCTTCATTCAAGATGTTATTTATAGATACACACTCTTATTGTAATGACTTAAAAACCACACTGCACACACAGCACATCACATGTAGTTGACTTTACTGCCAGTTAACATGCAAATACTTTGATGTGTATGCTGCTCAGCCAGATGCCATGGTGTTCTTGATCCAGGAGAGGTAATTGCAAACCTTTGTGTACACCCCAGGCTTTTTCTTTTGAGCACATCCTTTCCCCCAAGACACGACTCCATGGAGCTCTCTGTCACACATCATGGGACCCCCAGAGTCACCCTGAAGATACAACAAAAGAGGATTGGTGCACATAGTGACAGAAACAATTGTTTTGTGTTACAGTAGCCATTTTTATATTACCTGACAGGAGTCCTTCCCTCCCTCCAGAAAGCCAGCACAGATCATGTTTTCAGTGATTTGGAAAGGATATGCATTAAAGCATGTATCATCACTCAGGAGAGGGGCTTCCAGGCACTGTAATTTATGAGGGTACCTTGCTGGAAAGGACAGAAAATTCATGTTTTTATATACAATAATGTTAGAAATGGCATTTTTTGGACAATCTCAAACAGTCTGATGACTCACAGCCCTCATTACTGGGACGGATATTCCCCCATCCAGAGATTTGGCACATTGTCCCGTTACTGGCACACTTTGAAGGGAGCACAGCAGGGCGCACGTAGCTGTTCAGAGTGGCAGGTTGACTAAGTTTGATCAGCATTATATCACTGTCCTGTGTGCCGGAGTTGTAGTCAGGGTGTCGAATAAACTTGGCAGACATAATGTGCTGTTCTGTTCCCTCGGGTTCAAAGATGTCATGCTCTCCCAGCCGAATTTCTATATCTGACCTTGAAGAAATAATGGAAATCTCAAGATATAAACTTTGACATCAATTGATCAGTGTTTACCAGCTTCTAGTTTGGTTTTGCATGCTTGTATTTCTTACTTTGTTCTGCAGTGTGCAGCAGAGAGCACCCACTCCTCAGACAGAAGAGTCCCACCACAAAAGTTGTACCCAGTGTAGAGAGACACTTGGTAGGGCACAGAGTTTTTTGGACACTCATACCCTCCAACAATCTTGTTATCTTCCTTCAGGGCAGCTGCAGCTGGCAAAAACAGATCAATTATGTTATTGACATCAATCATTAAACATCAAAATGTTAGACTATTCAATGCCACACATTCAGATGTGGTACAGTATTTATAAATGATGTACTATACCTGCCCCTCCAAAGAGAGTCAGAAGAAGGAAAAGCTTCATGCCTGCTGTCTGGCCAGAAGATGAATGTGCACTCACCCTCTAGATTTCAGGTATTTGAATGCTCTTATCTCCTTTTTATCAAGGTCCTCTAGCATAGAGGTAAACATGTGTTACATTTCCCAAGAACAATTTACAGCATACTGTGAAAGACAGAAAATCAAACTGGGGGGGAAAACAGCTTGAAAGAGTAAACTATTTGAATTGCCAACTAACATTTGGAATTCCCCTTTTGGAGCATGCTTTTAGTCTGAGATTTTGAGCAGTTGCCTGGATATGAGATGTGTATTGCCTTTTAGTGACTATAAATTAACATTCACACTTGTGGATGTTAAGTAAAACTTGGTATTTGTCTGTATTACAAGTGGTTAAACACCCTCCTGGACAGTTAAATTGTCTTATAGCAAATGTGCCATTGCCATCACTTCCATTTCCTAAGCCAAGAAAAAAAACATATATAAAGTATTATTTTTATTGTATTCATATTCTGCATACTCATACTTTAAAGGAGGTCTGTTATCAGCCAGCTGCTGCCTGGAAAGATCCAGTATGTACATGTAGCTGTGTTGCAATACATGATATGAACAACCTAT